CAGGAAAAACACAACCGAGAGGATGAGAATGACATTAACAGTGGCTACCATTAAATATGAATTCCACCCCCCATAAATTCTTTGACAATTACAAATTTTCACTTTTTTAAAAAGGTAAGTCAGTGCCCCCTGATTTACCTTTTTAGGAACAGGAACTCCATCCCCAGACATATAGGGGCTCTGGGTGACAGACAACTGGGGCATATGTATATGTATACACACAATTTAGGATACATTTCAAGATTTTGAACGTTTGCTTTAAAGTTCAAAATTATCTTACAAATATTCCACCAGTTAATATGTATCCCAGAAATATTTTCAGGATCGTGTTTCTTTTTTTAGTCACATTTTCTCTCATTTGGTGTATTATCAAAGCATAAAATGATTTACAAATGTTCGATACTATTACATTATTATAAAAATGGCTCTGTTTTCTCTCACATAATGGTCAATAGAGTGATAGCTCCTAATTGAACAAACATGTTAAAATCCATTAGAAGGTAGAGTAAGTGGGAATTCACAGGGCAGTGATTGTCTACAGTACCTAGAAACCACATCTGTTGTACAGAAAAGTGGAAGGGAACTAAAAAGTGCAGAGGAGGAATGCACCGCATTTCTACATGCGCCTCTCCTTAGGAATATCAGCTTAGAGTGTGTTAAGGCCACTGGTACAATTAAGGTCATCTAGTTCCAGGTTCAATCTAGTCCATGGAAATGGGTGAAAAGTGTGGCATTTTTGCCACAGAATAACCAGGAATAGTCTTAATAAACACAGCTGTGAACTATGCATTCCTAAGATGGCCTAAAATTTTCATGGTATTGGTAAAAATAGAACACATACCTCAACTCCTCTTTCACTCATTCTGACTCACTTTGTTTTCATGACCGGTGTTCTCTTTATCACCATTTGGAGTAAGAAGTGCAGCCTGTTGAGGGATTAAGTTGAAACATAAGTTCTGACATAAATTATGCCAGTAATCTTGGTTAAGATTTTAAAACTCTAGGTAATTCACAAATTAAAAGCAGCAAATATTGCCCTACTTAATAGGGTTGTTGTGAGATCTACAAATCTTATGAACTATATAGCTGAGACTAGTCCACATGGAATAAAGTCTGTAGTATGTGAACATGGAATTCATGGAATTCATTATGGTATTCGTTTTAATTTAAAGAGCTTCATTGTTTCTGTATAAGAATTTCAAGACACTGGCTTAGTTCATGTGCTACCAAACTAAATTTGAAAATTGTAGTTTGAAAATTAGAAGTAACAAGATAAACATAAAGTATAAGTCATGTCATACATTACCAAACAATAGCTTTTTTAATGCCATCAAATAAGATGTGATTTTCCAAATAATTTTTATAAGGGTCCTAAACTCTTTAAGAAAGGAAAAAAAAAAACTACTATATAGACAAGTTTATTATTGAAAAATTGTAATATTCATAGCTATGATTTGTTAAGTGTTACAATGTAAATATAAATCTTGATAAGTAAACAGCATCTCAATCTAAGCTATGATTCAATGCACAGTTAAAAACAACTGTGATTCTTTAAACATAACAGAAATCCAATTTTAAATTGAATGTTAAATCCAAATTTTCTATGACTGCAATCTTCCTTATTGGCAATTGTATGGGTTTATACCATTGTATTCTAGAGAGAAAAAGGAAATCACAGACCAACGGGTTTTCAAACAGTTTTACAAAGAGAATATTATTGAAATATTTTTATAGTATTACAATCTAAATCAGACAGTATTACAAACATCAGAGAGGTAAATAGGAAGTAAAAAACAGAGCAGTCTCCTTTTATAATTTTAGATATAAATTTGTTTTAAAATATTAGATATTTCAACTCTCTTTATATACACTTATATATATTTAAAAATCTCATGTACTCAACTGCAATATTGTAAGGTTTTAGGCTTACTGTAAAAATAACCACTTTTATCCAGAACTAATAACCTGAATATAATCTATTTCCAAACAGATACAATTTTTAATTGTATTGGCAATGGTATATATGAAAATATAAAATGTAAAATTGATTACTGTAACTTACAATTGACAGTAACTCACCTACTGGTTACTTTTATTTATAACTCTTTCAAAACTTAATATTATATTTTTCCATTCCAATCTCTTGACCAAGTCAATCCATGTGTATAAAACTTATAAACCTGCTTTCTTAATGTTCCACTTTTATTTGTAATATCTATTATAGTTCAGAATACAAAGTTAAATTTGTATTTACCTAAATACAGGATGACCTTTAATTGAAGTATCAATATATCAACAGCTTTCTTATTAGACCATCATGACAAATTAGGGAAAAAAAAACTCTATGATAGAAAATTTCAGTTGGTATCTGTATCTGAATGGAAATGTAAGATGATGTTTTTGTATTTCCAAAATTTTACATTTTTTAAAGAGATATGGAATACTTCTAAATTTCTATTTATACAGTAATGTATTTCTATTTATAATGTATTTTAGGAAAAATGACTGTAGAATGAGTACAGATAGCAAAATCATTTCTTTTAAAAATAAGTTCATATTGAAATGTGTTCAAGTGATCAATGTGACTATTCTTCACAGGGTTAGGAGTGGGATATAAAAATACTTACCCTTAAATTTTAATATGAATAGATTAAGGCAGGTCTATCAAATGACCAAGTAAACAAAATTCAAAATAAGGTCTCACATATTACAAAACAGTACTTATTATTTTAGTGTTATAGAAAACGTCTGAAATATTTGGGCTACTGAGGTTAAAACACACACACACATGACCATCAAGATGATTTTATGATTTAATACAATGAATTACTATAAATCAAGAAAATCATTATATAATGGTGAAACCTTTTATGGACCTTGGTCTGTTTGTCCTCTGGAATTTCTAGAAATAATATTCACCTGCTTTAAAAAATATTTTACAGCAGCAAGCACGTGTCTATATGTGTTTAAAACACTCACTTCCTAATAATAGAATCTGTACTGGCACATTTAAAAAGTAAGATAATCTCATGTTGTGTATTTATTAAATGCCCTGGTGTTATTGCCATGTGAATAATCCCCAAAGTGCTGATTCATAGTGGCATAACATAGGCAGGCCTTACAGAGAATTGAACAATAAGGCAATGCTATTGACTTTTTTGAAACTTATAAAGGTTTCTTATAACTTCACTGTTCACTACATTTAGAAATACTGCATTGAAGACACACCTTAGAAGTACTTTTGGATAATTCAATCTATTTCAATAAATCGAAGTTTACTTAAATTGACTTTAAAATTTCTCATGAGACTAGAAAGAAATGTTGAATGGCTAACAGTAATACACACACATATAGTATTCCCTCAAATCCCTCTTCAGTTACAGAACTCCAAAAGCACTTTCCTACTTGAAAAAATTCAATTTAGCAGTCATGTATACAGAGGACACATACTAAGACAAAACTGCATATATTATGTATTTACACACACTTTTTTACCTTCACTTGGAAGATAAAATTGACACACTTATTTTTTGGTTAGAGTTATCACTAAGTTGACTATATTTAGCTTCATAATTTAAAAAGATAAAGAAAATATTATTGATTTCTTTTGAATATTAAAAGATGAACTTAATTGCAGTTGTTCAGTTAGAAAAAAAGTAGGGAGTGTGCATAATAGATATAGAAATAGAATCTAAAAATACAGTCATTTTGTCTTGGTGGGAAGTCCCTATCTATATCCCTGCCACCATTCCCAAAGCACTGTTTTTCAGAATTATCCTTGCCATCATATTATTCTGGCCATTCAAAAATCCCTCTATTCATGTAGAGAAAAGCTTCCCAAAAAGCAAACTAAATGTCTGTTCTTAGCACTTGTTAGATAAAATACTAAAGTTACATCTGGGCATTGACAAAATAATTATAATGGTTTGAAACAACTTATATACCACATGACACTAGCTATCTGCTTACCAATTCTTTTTAGTGAAAAGTATCTAAGTAGATTTCATTTATTTTTATTTCATAACTATCAGTAATAATTTAGGAGCGCTTTGCTTTCCAAAACCAGAAGACAGAGGGACTGCTTTCCCTAAGAGAGAATGAGAGTTGACATGGAGTATTCGGAGGACTTCAATGCACACATATGCCTGAAAACCTCACCCTTCCTTTTTAGGGAATGATTAAAATAGCATTCATGCAATTGATTGTCCAGTGTACACACGAATCCCACTTTAGACAAGCTATACCCAGAACAAGAGGCTTTCTTCAGGGAGAATTGTTCTGGAGACATCCTGGTACAGTCATAAAGCTGTAAGTTTAGATGTATAAGCTTCTCCCTATGAAAATCAGGGAGATAACATGCTCATTGATTCCCTGGATAGAAACCTCAAACAATATCTAGGATGTGTTATCATACTTGACTGGAGAGAAAATGGAGGGGATACTGAATGGGTATATCTCAGAGAGGAAATTCTCACTGATCCTTATACAAAAGATATGCTTATTGAGTGTGAGTATATGTGTATGCAGTCCCACACAACTGTGCATGTGTATATGCACACACACACACACACACACACACATTAGGCTAAAGCCTCTCTGTCCCTAATTGACTAAGCAATCAATTCAGCCATATCAGTCAAGCAACTCTCCATCAATTTTCAATTTTGACCACTAAGTTGGTCAGGGGATGGGCAGGGAATTGGCAATTTGGTAGCTTCTTATTGACAGTTGGTCCCACATGTCCACCTTCTTGACAGGAACTATCTTTAGGCTAAACTCACCTACATCTGTCCAAGGAGATTTTGACAGAGCCAGCACAAGTCAGAGAAAAAGAAAATGCTTCTGTGTGATAGAAGCATTATTAGCTCCTCAAAAACTAATCAAGCTTCTCCATCTGTTTCTAGCACAAGTTATTATTAGGATCAATGTGATACTCCGATCTCTGGCTGAACTTTCATACACAAATGCCTTGAAAATAACAATGAGCTTATCAGAAGACGCAGTGTCAAAAACTTTTTAATGAGTGGGGCAAGAATCTGCAAAAATTTTCATAAAGCGCTAAAGATAAGCAATTCCCTTTCCCCATACACACCCAACAAATCACTTAATTCTTAAAAATAAAAACAGACAAGAATAAACCCAACATACAAATTATAGAAAAATACCATATCATATGATGATTTATTGAGTGAAAAAAGTCCTTTTTCATTCCATTCTACAAGAGATTGTGCTAGGAGTCATTTTGAAAAAATTGTGCGACATTCAGAAGTTGTATCTCATCATGCAGTCAGTCAGCATGTTTAATGTGCAAGTGCATGCAGACACTCATTTGTGAACTATGTCAGCTACAATCTAGAGTGATTTTCCATACACTACTCTGAAAGTGCTTCAGCTATGAACAAACTGTCAAAGCCGACTGCATGCATATTTATATTAGTTATTTGCTTGAAAAGACAACAAGTTAGAATATGAAAATATATAAGCAGCATTCACGTAGTACAGAATTCCTGAGAAAAGAGTGTGCTATATAAATCCTTTGAGAAATCATTTGCATCCATATGAAAACTATGATATAAAACATTGTCTCAACTAAAACAGAGTGAAATAAAACTAACATACTGTTTGGGGCTATAATATTTTGTTGTCAACAGTGACAAAGGCCTCACTAAATTCTACTGCATTGTTTCACAAAAGGAAAAATGTCTGAAAAATTTTTCACTGTATGCTATTTTCCACCAGTTTCAAAATTATCAACATATTATAATTTTTTATTAAAAATACACCCCTATATTCACATTTTGTTTCTCTCTAGGAAATCAATATGATTTTAAACCCTGATGGTGGTATATAAAAATAACTCATAAAAAGACTTCTGAAGGGCACAACTGTCATTGTTTTTCGCTGCACATTGGACAAATATCTTTGTCCTATGTTCCTCATTTGGAAAAGACATAAATATCAGATTCATTTATGTCTTTAACAGACAGAGAGGGTATTTATTCTCAGGCAAGTAAAAGAAATGCAGATGTTACAAAGATGCAAGAGGTTAAAACTCCTTTGTGGAATTAGCTACTATAAATAAGCAGGTGGCAGAAACAGAACTCTCTGCAATCTGAATGAAAGAGACCCATGTGAAAAGGGCACATGAGAAAATTTTAGTGTAAGAAATTTCTCCCCTTGCTCAGAATCAAATGACAAGTAAGGAAGTGATTATTTTTCACAAAAACCAACTAACCAGCCACCCAGCCACCCAAACTACCAATCAATATCTATAATACATTAACTTTTCCCTGGCTGGAAGAAGGTAAAGCAAAACAGAAAACTATTTACAATGTTAAACTCATAAAAAAGAGTGAGGATCAATTCATAATTTTCTTACTAGGGAAGCCTCAGTATTTATTTCAATTGCATTTAATCTGCCCTGTGTATATTTTGGGACGAGCTACTCTATGCTTAATTGGACAAATAAAAATCAAAGTTCTCAAATATATATGAGTGTGTATAGTCTCCCACACTCTTCCTAGGGGAGAAAAAACTGAGATTAGCACTAATTGTTTTACACTGAAAAATGTCCTACTTTCTGTTGCACATCCCTTTACTTCCACTCTTTCCTCCCATGTGGCCACCAAAGCTTGTGCCTCCACTGGACTTTCCTTTCATTGAAGGCCCCATTATTATTCTCACTTCATTTGACTATGACCAGTCACACTAACAGATAATAGAACTGACACTGAAACAGAAGTTGCACAATAAAGCAAACTGATGTCTTTCACAATTACTTTGACTTTGTTTCTAGGTAATTATAAAAAATAACTCAATCTATCAAAGAAGATCAAAGAAGTCATAACAAAAAGAGCTTTACAGTGATGAAAATAAAGTAAAACAAAAAAGTGTTTTTTTTTTTTACAAATAATATAATTCATATTCATGCATTACTTTCATTAGCTCATAAGCAAGAGAAGACATTGTTGCAAAGCATCTGGCTTCTGTTTTCCTCAACAAACAAGTCACAAAAGGGTAGTGTGCAAATGTTCTCAGAGCTGATCAACTAACTTGCATTACACATTGTCAAGGTGCAAAGGTACAAGGAAAATAAACATATTTACAGCATTTCAAGTTATTCAGTGTGAGCTGTTGTAATAAATCAGGAAGCGAAAAAATTAAATGTACTATAAAACTGCCTTTTGTAGTAAATGGATTTATCTTCTCAATGATATGAAAATAACCCTTCATGTTTTACATGTAAGTGGCTCTACTGGCATTTAGTTATAAAGAAAAGCCGTACAACTGGTCCTGTCAGTCACAAAATAGATTTAGATATAGTCAATGCAACAGACTGTTATTTCATGAATGGTATTCATCTTGGAATTTTAGGTATTTGGTTTGACTATTAAGGAGATGTGCAACTCTTCAATTGCATAGTCAATATAAAGCAGCATGATTTCCCTGTGGCACAGGTCCACAATCTCAGCAAGAATAAGGGGAATTCTTACAAACCTGTAAGCTGAAGGGACGTGGATTTTTGGCAGCAAAGGCAATAAGTATATCGACTCACTCTATAGTTTCAAAGTCATTAGAATGTGAATGAAGATAACACAATTCTAAGTCATTCCTGGCATGTGAACATTTTCATGGAAATCTTGTCTTTGGAAACCTCACCATCACACTTCCTGTTACACTGCTGATGGAAGGTGAAGATCTCCAAATACATAACTCCCTGAGTCTGGTTCTGAGAATTAGATTCCGGCTTTCTACAATGTCAATCTGAGCATTATTGTAAGGTCAGGAATCATCTTTTTCTCTCCTAGAATGCTGGCTGTTTCAAATACCAGAGATAAATGTAATGCATTTCTAAGGAACATATCACACACATGATTGTCAGGTGTACCTTCCTTAGATAGCAGCTAAATTTGAACTTGCTGCCATTCCAATGACTATTGCCCCTACTGGGTAACAGTTACCAACTAAGGCCATTCATGATGAACAGGGTGACCACTTTTTCTCCGTTGTTGTTGTAAGTGTTCTAGCTCAGCCTCGTACATCATTTCTTGAACGAGGTACTTCTCCCGTCGTATTCTGTCATATAGATTTTTTGGTACATCTGGAATCAGGTATGCAATGAATGACTTGATCCCAAAAACAAGGTGCTGTAAGTTTAAGAAGGGAAAGTGCAATATACAAAGATTATCATATGCTAGTTTATAAAATGAATAAACATGAACAATATTGTGTTTGACTAACAAACAATCAGACACTGGAATGGAGAATGCTATCAATCACCTAGGATGTAAATATTTGCACAGATTGCATTTGCAATACTATAGTTGCCTTCTATCGGATACGTGTTAGGAAGAATGAAGGACCGTTTCCTCTTTTTACTGTGATATGTTGATACCACAATTGAAATAATATATGTTTAAGGTAATTTTATCAGTCTTTGACTTACCTCAAACACAATGATGAAGGCCAATCGAGCAGCGAGGATGTGCCAGTATTGTAAGGTGAATTCATAGGGTTTGGAACTCCAAGGGGGCCCTCTGTAATCTCTGTACCTAAACCCCACAAGACAAAGAATTTGAAGAACAGAGACTAATGAATGGTAGAGGCCCCGAATTTTCTTGATTTGCATACATTCCAAAATGAGTTTGGATGGGCTCATTAACATGTAAAGGCAAGGAAATGTAATAGGGGAAGGAAGAAGAAAAGCATTATAATTTATAAGCAATACCTGCAATAGCCAGATTTTCCCATACCGAGCTCACTCAGGTCAAAGAAGGAGAGGCTATTGTTGACATATCCTTTTAAGCAACTGAGAGAAAAGAAAAGCATAATGTGATTCAGAGATTCATAAATTTCTAGTGCAGTGCCTTCATTATAAGTCACAGGATTTAAAAAGATTCATTTCCATTAGAATTATAAGTACTTAGCAACTCAGCTCTTTTATTCCCTAACTTCCATTATAACTGTAGCTTCCCCTTAATGAGATAAACTCAGGTCATTTTCCCTCAGTAATTTATAATTAAACAGACAACAAAAAACATTTATTTGTGATTTGTTAATTTACTCAATATGTATTTATTGAGGACTTACAAATTTTTTAGAAAAGTCCAGATGCTTGGTGCTGAACAATAACAAAATATGAGGCAAAATATGATAACATAGGGATTAGATAGTAATTAGAGTTAATCTTTACAGCAATCTTAGTGTATATATATTATCACCATTATTTAGATTAAAGAACAATTGTTTACAGAGAAAAGGCTTCTCTAGGCTCGTAAGTCTTAAAATATTTTATATTGGCCCTCCTTGGTGGCGCAGCGGGTTAAAGCACAGCACTGAGGATCTAAAGCCGCTTCTGCATGAGTTCGATTCCCGCCTGCCCCGGAGGTGACCACATGGCATGGCAGACCTCTCCTGACCCGCCCGCTGCTCCCCTCAGCAGTGTACTTCATCGATCTGCCTGTTCTGCTCCCCACTCTGTCTCTGGTGGGGCCTCTCGCCGCCCCTGGGCCTCTGGCCTGTACCCCAGTTCTGTATGCACAAATAAATAAATTTAAAAAAAAAATTTTATATTTTCAGATAGCCTGTATAAATAAATTAAAAATTAATTTCAGTTCTCAAAGCCATTTGCATAGTAACATTCCTATTGATAGTTTACATATTAGAAATTAAAACTGGGCATTTATAAAATATTTACCAATTCATGTAAATTTATTGTCAAATCCATTACAAATAATATGTATACCAAATGTTTCATTATTGCCAATTAAAAAAAATATTAGATAATATTGGCTTATATTAATGTATATGGCTCAGAGATATAGGTTTATACTTTTTCACATGTAGGTTACCACAAATACAGAACATTTAAAAAAAGAGCTATATTTTATAAAAGAAAAATGTACGAAGAAAGATAATGTTTTACATGACCTTTTTAATGTCTGTCTCATAAAAGATAGCTATATTGTCATGGTGGCTTCTTAAGTTAACCTGTTGCAATATGTTGATTTGGTTAAAGGGTATTCAGAGAAACGACTCACATAGGCAAGTAGTTGGACAAAGGAGGACTATTTTAATAGCATTTCAGATAGTTATTCAAAATATTTTGATATCATACTGAAATCCTGTATGTTGTCAGTTTATAAAGTTTAGTTGCAATGTGGAATCTGAAAATAAAATTCAATTTCAATGTAGCACTGAACTTTTCATATGGATCTTATATTAAATCCATAAGTCTATGTTATAATTTGAATTCACTTCTTACACAGATTTATGACATCAGATAAGGTAATTTGGAAAATTTATTCCTGGAGTTATGAACATCACCTAGATATTAGCAAAGTTTTATGAAAAATCACAATAATTAATAACAGTTTTGATTGTAATCACAAAGTATTGGGAAACTTTTAAGCTTGCAATGGCAGATAAAGGTTCTCCAAAATTCAAATTTTCACTTCAAAGCTTCATATTTTATTAGTATAAATGAATACTGTCAATAATTTCCTTATAATGGCATGATAGTTTTGTGCATTTTATAAAAATGTCCGCTAAGTGCTCAAGCCTGAAGAATAATAGCTTATCTGGAATATTTGTTTAATTTGCAACAATCATACATGGAATTTTCTTCAAGACAATCCTCATCATTTGGAATGTAGAAGTACTTCACAATTTATTAAACAGTCACAAAACATGTTTTTTCACAATGATGTCTAGATGGTTTCTAGCTTGACTGCTTCATCAAGAACACTCTGGAATATCTTAGCGTTTTTAAATAGTAGTGAAGAATGCGATTCATATTCTAGTACTTTGGGGGGCTATAATCTTCAGTTACACAAAACAACTAGAAAATTGCATCTACCGCTACTTTTTCACCATTGGTACAAATATCAATAGGATGGAAAAAGATGTACTATGATTATGAAAACAGTATTAACCTCATGGACCCTTAAGGAGATCTGTGGCCCCTATGTGGAGAACCTAGCTCCTGGACAAACAGTTGTTAAAACCTGAATTCAAATGTGTATCTCTCTCACACTAACCCCTAAATTCTTAATTTCAGTGCCATGCTGACTTCACACCCTGCTCTGTCCAACCTGGATATCATAACTTATCATTTCGACTTCTCTTTGTCAATCTGATCTTTTCCACTGCACCTCATTCTTTGCCACTTCATTCTGAAAATGAACATATTCCCATTTGGAAGTTAAGCATACCCACTACCCTCCCCTCCAAAAATAAAATAATATGTAGCTATGAACATGTGACTTCAATTTCAAAATGCCTTTCACATCTCTGTATGAAATTATTCTACACCATTGGTAAGTGAATACAGAGAAGAGGTCAGTTGTCATCTACATGCAGGCAGAGTCTAAATACAGAGCAGGTATTCAGGCAATCTTACTTTCACCTACCCTAGGTGGCAGTAAAGACACTGGCAAATGCTCCAGAGGAAGAGGCCTGCCAGACTCACATGCACACTTTCACCCCTGCATCTGGGCTATTTTTAATTAAGAAAAAAAGGGACTTTGGGGATTTTTCTCAATTGATGCTTAAACTATTTTTTAAACGTAGTGTTTGGCAGTTCAAAAATGTTATTTCAGGCACTATTTCTTAATCAAAGTTAAAAATTGATGATGTGGCTTTTAGTAAGAGGCAAAAAATTAAAAATTTGAACCCAGGGTGTTTGAATTCAACTTAAAAATTTCGAAAAGACTCCAAGATATAAAATGAAACTTCATGGCTTTGTTAGATCTCTGAGAAATCGAAACGTTTACATTCAGAAAGGCATTTTGGTGTTGAGTTCATCAGCAGAACTAAGGGTTGATTTCATTCTAAAACAGGGCTCATTCTGCTGGGGCATATGTCAGCCCCTAGCTAAGATGCTTGTCCAAAGCTGCTCCTGAAGGAACAAAAAGGCTCCTCCTAACACCCCCTTACCTGCTATCATTATTTTTATACCTAAGGCAACTCTCCAGCAAAAAAAACCCATTTCTCTCTGTTACCTAAATCCAGTGACTTCTTCCATTCTCTCCTGATCTATAATTTTAAGAAGGAAATAACAGGTACATACTCCCCAAAACTAGGGTTCTAATAAGGTGACTTTGTTCCTCAGGGAACATTTGGAGATGTCTAGACATATTTTTGAAGGTCACAGCTTGGGAGTAGGAGGTTGCAGCGGGCTTCTACTGAGTGGAGGGGAAGGATGCCATTGAACATCCTACACTGCCCCGGGCACTTCCTTCCCCATCCAAAAAAGAGAATTATCTGGGATAAAATATCATTAGTGTAGAGGCTGAGAAATCATACTCCCAATATGTGGATTTATTTTCCAACAAAAATACGTGGAGTCAGGCCCAGGATAACATTTTCTGCACCCTTAACTGTCCTAACTATAAAGACCATTTGAAACATCTTTCTCTATAGAGTCAACAGTTTCTTCACATTCTGTATTATCTTGCAAAAAAGCTTCCTGCCCTTCAGCAGGATTAACCATTATGGGTCTCAATTTTCCAATCCATATATCAAAAGATTATGTTCCACAATTTCTAAGAGACATTTTTCAGTTCTAGAATGTGACTTCTGAGTACACTAATATTTTTAGCCTTGTACTCCTAGTGATGCATGGAGAGACTTTAAACTTATTTCCTATAAGAAACTGCTGCCTTTTTTTATGGTGCTTGGTTGCATCCAATAAATCCAGTAAGTGCAGTGATCAGGATCAGTGCTCTTCATGGTCACAGAACAAAACTTGCCAATAAGTTCTCATTTCAATTACAACATAAAATAGATCAGAAAAATGTTCACCCTTACTTTTCGCTGTATTCAGACCGACTTGCACAAGGGCCATATTTATATTCATAGACAAAACGTGGGATGTAATCTGATGTAATAGCAATTACAAATGCATTGGTGATCACAGCCAATATGCCAATTCCTTCAAGAATTCCATACCAGATACCTAGTAGGAGAAAAATAGAAGATCAAAGAGAGTGAATAAAACATAAAAAATTAAGCCTTTGAATAAATTTTATTTTGGAAATTTTTTCTGGGTGGGGGGGGAGTATACTTATTTTGATCCACATTTTTACTTTAGTCCATTATTTACTTTTTAGTACAATGTCTCACTAAGGTACAGCTATTGAACGGATTTCCACAGAGGAATATAGACTCCATACTGGAAATCTGAAAATTACAGTGTTATTAGGAATCAGCTCATGCTGGTAGTGAGACATAGAATGTTTGCCTAAAATATATCAAAGCCTAATGTTTAGAAGTTACTGAGGTGATATAAAACAATATTTAAGTTCTAGATCATCAGGTAAGCAGTGGAATATCTGTATTCACTATTGGTTTGCCTTTGCCTTGCCAACTATCTTTTTGAAACAAAAACACAAAAAAAGTTAAACTAGCTTGCTGTCAAGACTTGAAATTACTAGTTGGCATTTCTTATTAGGAGAGCAGCCTGTAATTGGATTTTTGAAATTGCACAAAGTATCTATAAACTATTGATGATCGTCAAGACTATGATTTAAAATGAGGTTACAATTAGTTTTAAACATGTTAATTAAAAACACATCCTGTAAAGAAAGCATCAGAAGTGCCAGTGGTCACTGGCTCACTGGCTAACGTGGCTACCTTCTCCCCCACCACCCTCCATGTTTTTCACATTCTTTATAACGTGGCCACATATATAATATGGCTATAATATATATATATAAAGGAATTTTATTAAATTAATAAATTCAAGTTCTAAAACTTAACATTTACTTGGTTGGAGAGATGATAAGAAATAAGAATTTGTAAGGAAACAGTATTTGCACACATCAAAATTTAACATTTCTTTTTACAAAAGTAATGCTACTCAGCCAAAGCAACAACAATTACTTAGGATAAAATATATGCTTCACAAAACACAGAGAGGATGATTTTGCCTAATATACAAAATGGAGTTGCTGAGGCAATGGATCTACATTCACTGATAGTGAGAGCAGAAATTGTCACATTTTTGAAGAACATATATCATGATTTTAAATGCAGGTGTTCTTTGTCACAGGAGTGACAGTCATTCTAGGAATACAGCCCGAGGAAACAGTTCAAGTAAGTATGAAGCTATTTGCCTGTTGCATAGTAGCAAAGGACTAAAGCAATCTAAAATCTTTACTTAAGGGATTGCTTTGAATGCATAATAGAAATCTGCAGCAAAAATAAAGAATGAGGTAATAAAGAATGGAAAATGAATTACAGACACATTTTTGAAGCATCCTGTTTAAAGTGGACTTACTCTTAAGTGCTTATTTTATTCTTTGGTTAAGGAAACCTGCTCAGTTTTGTTACTGTTGGGAGGGAGACCCCAGAAATAGAAATCCACATGGTGCTAAGTAAAATGACAGCAGTTCAAAGTCACTTAATTTCTGAATCTCACCTGTGTCAGTTGTCTGAACTTACCTATATCAGTAGCTCGGGCTGGCAGAGGCCTGCGCCACTGGGTGACAAATTTGTATGCATCTAGCCTAATCTCAATGATATTGTTTAACAAAGCCAAAAGAGGAGCCAGAGGAAATGCCGCAACAAAGATGGTGGTAAAACCAAACTGCAAAACTGTAAAGGGAAAGCATTAGGAAATTAGTGATATCAAACCTTATTAAAAATATAAACACTAGGGCCCTCCCTGGTGGGGTGGCGCAGCCGGTTAAAGCACTGCACTAAGAAGCTTAAGCTACTTCCGCATGAGTTCGATCCCCGCCTGCCCCGGAGGAGATCCACATGGCGTGGCAGACCTCTCCTGACCCGCCCGCTGCTCCACTCAGCAGTGTACTTCGTCGATCTGCCTGTTCTGCTCCCCACTCTGTCCCTGATGAATCCTCTCACCCTCCACATCTCTGGCCTGTATGCCAGTTCTGTATGAATAAATTAAAAAAAAAAAGAAATAGAGCTTTAAATATATATATATAAACACTATCATTTATTGCACATTATCCTAGTGTAATACTAGGTACTTTACATAAATAGCTATTCACCTTTTCAACACTCCTAGTGGGTATATATGTTTATCCCCATTTTTAGTTGAGAAAGTTATACTATTTGTTAAGTAAACTTCTAAAGGGTAGATAGCCAGAAAACATTTAGCAACTACATTCAAACTCAGATCTGAATGGATTGAAAATCTATGTTTTTGCCACTAAGCAGCAGAAGGAAGAGTAAAGAAAATACAAGGAGTCAGAGGGGAACTTGAAGAATTCAAATGCTTGACAAAAGGAGGGACTGGAGACCTAATTTGGTTTTCTTTTTTCAAAGTTTAGAAAAAAGATAAGGTTAGACAGCACTCAATGATTTTAATAGTTGGAATGGGAATTCATTTTTTAATATAGGTAAGTTTCTTGAAAAAGCTGAGATTCAGACAAGTTTTGTGTAAAGGTTTATTATGAAAAAGAATTATTGCCTGGTTTGGGTGAGATGGTACATTTCATGGATGGATTTGATTCTGCTTCTTTAAAATATTTAATATTTAAATATTTCTTTAAAATATTTGCTCAAAAGCTAGGTCTCTACCATAGGGACCATTATTTTGAACAAATATTCTGGTTGCCCAAGGACAAAATGTGTGAACCTTCTAGAAGTTGCGTTGCTATCTTCTCTAGCTCTGTCTAGCAAAAAGTGCAGAAATATTTAGATAGAGTCTAGAAAGGAGGGAAATGATTTTCTCTTTTGAACCAAAACCTGCATGAAACAGAAAAATAATATCAAGAATGACAACTCCGCAGAAAGGTTTTTCCTTACCCATTTCTAAGTACTCATCCATCAGTCCATGAATATTCATAGGCTGCAGATTCCAATCATTTTCCCACTGTGGTATGGAGGCATCTTGTACTCCCCGCTTGATTTTATGTCGTGACCACCAGTTCTGGATCAATCTACATCCAGAACAGAAAAAGAACTTTAGAGCTCTAATTTTAGGCACAATGGATAATTGATAGTACATTTAGAAAGGAGAAACACCAACTATCCTCAGGACTATACCAAGCATTCCTGAGAACTGGAGATATTTGCATGGTCTCAGCTTCCAAGACTAGCACCAGAGAATAGGACTCAGTCTTTTCAGAACTCTCCAGACCCTGTAAACATCTATATTTTTATATAGAAATTGATCTCCTGAGATACTTCAATGCATTCTGGTTTTGAAGTATGCTGCTGATTCTCTTTCTTAAGAGATACAAAAACTGAAGCTCAGAAAGATTTATTACCTTGCACAAGGTCACACATTTACTAAGGAGAAGAGCTGGAACAGAATTTTCATTGGTCTGATTACTAACCCCAAATTTGTACCTTTTTCTTTGTAACAATGTATAAAGTAAGTTTAATAATACAGTGCTCACGGGTATCCCAGTTCCATGAAGTTATTCCATATTTGCTTCAAAAACATGATAACTCCCATCTGGAGGCAGAGGTCTATTAAACAGCCACTAGGATGACACTACAACAGAACAGTAAAAGCAATAATGACCTGGCTCTTCCCAGTTAGTTTAAACATCCCCACAAATTATACTATAAGTTCTAAGCCAGGCCACACCATCTCAATGCGTAAAGACAATAAAAACAAGGTAGAAATAGCATCTATGAGGTTACTTGTTATGATGTTTTCATTAATTACACAATTCTAACCTTTACCAAACTTTTACTATCTGCTCAACTTTTCATTAAGCATGACCACATAAAATAAATAATTGGGGATAATTATATAGCCATTGAAAATTAGGAGACAGAAAAATGTTTAGTTCTATGGCCAAATGTGTACAATATATTCTTTTAAAATCAACCTTTCATTTCAGAATAATTTTAGATTCATAGAAAATCTACACAGTACAGAGAATTCCCCTGTGGCTCCTCACTCATTTCTCTCCATTGCCCATCTCTTAATGAGGGATATGTGTTAAAAATAAGAGACTCTTGCACACTGCTATTAACTGAACTGCAACATTATTTAGGTTTCACCAGTTTTTCAATGAATACCCTCTTTTTGCCCCAGGACTGAGCCCAGAATATTATATTTACTCATCAGTGTCCATGGACTCTTCTTGGTCTGGACAATTTCTGTTTTCATATCCTTGACATTGTTCAGGACTGTTGGACGGGTATCCTGTGCAAAATCCCCAATCTGTTTGTATGATGTTTTCATGTGTTTAGAGCAACGTTTTGTTTTGGGGGAATGCAATTAGATCACAGAGGTGATGTGTCATTCTCATCACACTACAAATGATGTTAACCTTTATCACTTGGTTTATATAGATTTTTGCCAGTATCTCCACTGTAAAATTAATCATTTATATCTTCCCTTAGAAGTGAGTTGCTAAGTCTAGCCCACTCTCAAGGTGCGGGGTAGCTAATATAATCTCTATTTTCTTGATTGAGAAAGCATGCCACAAAATATTTTGTCAGATAAATCCCAATTTTGCCTTCTCTTTGTAGCTTTTTTTTTCCTAGATTTTTCTTCATAAAGCATTAGAAACCCACACATTGTAATCAATGTGTTTTGCTTGAAACCTTTGTACCATGGGAGACATGTGGGTAGGGAAGCGTGGGTTGGTCTCTTTAGAAATGGGTTCATGTTCTGCTCACAAGGATGATACTGTCTGTAGCTTTGATCCACTGCTTCTATTTCTATCAAATTGGTACCAGTGCACAATTTCAAAGGAAACAAAAAATTAGGACATGAAGAACTTTTTTTCAGGTTCCAGCCCAGTAACTTAAAATTTCTTAATCTGACCCAGAGAGAGGACTTGCTAGTGGGGATTCTTATTGTGTGGAGAAGAGTTATTCTCCCACCCAAGTATGTTTCTTATTTCTAGAATAAATTTGGAACCCCCTGAACTCTGCCATAGCTATGGGATAGATGAGTTAGGTAGAATGCCTGAGGCTGAATCATTCTACGGAGGTACATCAGAGATCAAAGCTATGGAGTATACCCACAAGCTCAAGCACTTCACTTTTATAGAGAGAAACAGGAAAATTGACCTGTGCTTGGTCATGCGATATTAACTGGTGGTGTGGAAGGGAAAGTCTCGGTTTCCTACACCTTACCCATTGCTCTTTTAAAAGGATGGCCTTTCCTTACCATATTTGTTTCTTGCTTTGAAGGGCTGGTTTAGCACAACCACGTTATATGTAGGAAGGAAATATAAGGCAATCATAAAACTATTTGATTTGATTATTCTCCATAATGATAGTCCAAAATGTAGAGGCTAGATAATAGGCCATCTCTAATTTTTTTTTTGAAATTGACTTTTGATGACTTTGTAATATTTAGGCAAAGAAAGAGATTATAAAGGTTTTTAAAAGGTTTTTCCCCCTTCATATGATGATTTCCTTGAACCATAATCCAATCCTTTAACCCTGTAAAATTCACGTGGTAAAAAGAGCTCATACTTACAATGAGTATGAGCATAGTTTAGTTTTTATTCTCATTCTACTACTCAAAATCATAAGGTCATGGACAGCCCCTTGGTGAGTAACTTCAACTACACTGTTGGTGGGAATGTAGACTGGTTCAGACCCTATGGAAAACGGTATGGAGGCTTCTCAAAATACTAAAACTAGATCAACCATGTGATACTGCAGTGCTACTCCTAGATATCTACCTGCAGAATGCAAAAGCCTTAGTTTGATTGGATACAAGCACTCTTATATTCATTGTAGCACATTTACAATAGCCAAATTTATGGAAATAACCTAAATTCTCATTGACAGAACAGTGGTTTAAGAAAATGTGTATGTAAACAATGCAATACTATTCAACTTTAAATAAAGAAGAACTCTTGCCATTCGTCAGAGCATGGATGGAACTGGAGAGAATTATACTGAGCAAAACAAGTCAGAATGAGAAAGACCAATAACCATATGACTGCACTCATATGTGGAACAATACACCAAAACAAAGAAAAAGAACAAACTAAAACAAAATACTTGAAATCTCTATGTAGAATTCAGACTACCAGAGTGGGAGTGTGGGGGTGGGGTGGGAAGGACAGTGTGGAAGAGGGTCAGTGCACTATGGTGGAGAACGATGGGTACTTTGGTGGTGGGTGGGGCATAGCAATATTCATTTGATAAAGTATGGACTTATATGCCTAAATCACATATGGTGGTGTAAACTGATTTTACCTCAATAAATAAATACAATTTAAAATAAAATATTTTTTTTTTCTATTTTGGCCTCAATTGTGCCTTAGTACCATTCTTTGTGACTGGAAAAAATACAATAGTCAGAGTTCTGATTCTAAAGCTAGACTGCCTGGATTAAACAGAAATCAATTTGATCACTTCCTCAATTTGCAAGCATTTTAGAATTGTAGACAGATTACATAATTTCTGTAAGATTCAATTTCCTCTTCTGTAAAATAGGCAGACATAATAGTGGAATCTTATCAGGGTTAAATGAGTTAACATGTAGAACACTTAGAAACAATATCTGGAATGTGCTGGCAAATAGCACATACTTATTAAATATTAGCTATTATTTTTATGTAATTTACATAAAATATAATACAGAATCAGACAATATAGCTAGCTCATAAATTGTAGTACTTTTTATTTTTTTAAGGATTACCATTAACTGTGTCAGGGATTTGCATACAAGATCGAATTTTATCCACCTGACACTAGTATTATTGAGACAGTCACTCTTATCACAAGTTTACAAAAGAAGAAACTGAGATTACTGATACTAAGATCATACAATTAGGTGGGGCAAAGTTAGAATGTAGACTCACAGACTCCAAAGAAAATAGTTTTTTTCTTTGAGGCTATTAACATTGTGAAAGAAAGGAAAGAAACTTATTTGCATAACTTAATGTTACCCAGCAGCATTCTGAAATGCGTGTCAATAAATGCTTATTTGCATGATTGAATTCAGAGTGTCAGTTATGATTTTCCATTATGTATACTTTCTACATCTACATTGCTAGAATATCTAGGGTCTATCACAAACTCAAATTTTTCATTTCGCTGATTTTTTTATTTTCCAAAATAAACAATGATATTACAAAACATGGTCTATGTCATAAATATAATAGAAAATGTCTAGGGTGGCTAATGATAATTTTTCTTGATATCATGGTTTCCGATTATTTCATACTTAAGCATAAGAACATGAAGTCAAACAAAATTACTGATGACAGCTGCATCTAAAAAGACATCAATATGATGATCTGCTTATAACCACTGTTTCCCAAGTTACCCTTACTAATTGCAATTAGGTACTCCTGTAAAAAGACATCATTGAGTCCCAAATTAGGTGAATAAAAAATCTTGCAACAGATTAATCCTAATTCTGAACCATGAGAGAAAAACTGCAAGATTGATTTGGGATCTCCCAGAAGTCTGAGATATGAAAAGCCTTAAACTGCCTTTGGCTAGAATAAAACCCAAATACTTGTAGTGTCAGGGAACTGGAAATATCAGCTACAAGTCAGAGAGTACAGCTCAGACATTGTGCTAACTGTGTTATGTAAATCACCTCTTATCTGCAAACAGCTTTGCAACCTAAGGATAATCACTGCCAATTTATAGATGAAGAGAGAGACTCAGAGAGGTTAACTAAGGGACAAACAATTAAGTAGCAAGATCTGCTTCTGAGCCTTGGTTTCTATGACGTAAACCAAGAATTTCTTGGTTCTCTGAATTTTTAAGCTTTCTCCATGTATTCCAGTCAAGTTCCAGAACAATGTAGGGTGACAACTCTTGAGTTTTTTTGTAACATGTTAGAAGACTGGAAATTTATCTATCCTCAGATTTTTTTTTTTAAAGATTTATTTATTTATACAGAACTGGGGTACAGGCCAGAGATGCGGAGGGTGAGAGGATTCACCAGAGACAGAGCAGGAGCAGAACAGGCAGATCGACGAAGTATACTGCTGAGGGGAGCAGCGGGCGGAGCAGGAGAGGACTGCTAAGCCATGTGGATCTCCTCAGGGGCACGTGGGAATCAAACTCATGTGGAAGTGGCTTAAGCTTCTTAGTGCTGTGCTTTAACCCACTGCGCCACCAGGGAGGGCCCTATCCTCAGATTTTTAACAGGGAATCTTTACTAGGCCTTTATTTAAATTGTGACCTTCTACTAAAGCCATATATTAAATTACATTTTAGAATATTTACAAGTTTGAACTAGAGAAAGACAAAGCAATCTGACCAATGAGATTTAACAGAGTACTGAAATAAACACAACACAGTAAATTTAGAGTCTGACAAGCAAAAAATAATGTTTTTATTCAATATGTGACTGTTAATTTGAGGGGCATTGTTAACTACTCTTTATTACCAAAATAATCTTCCAAATGAGAAAAAAAATCAGTATTAGAAAAACAATATTAGTAAATATAAGTGTGAGGGTTTTTATTTTTAATTTCCAGAATGGAGAATACAATTTTGGCATTATACAAATTTCCAACATCATTACCAATAGTGATATCTTGATTAGAAAATGCCATAGTTTCATAAATTATCAAAACAAAAAGTAAAGATATGCAAGAAAATGGGAAAACAACTGCTTCAAATTTGAAATATTAGAGTCTAATTTTATAGGTATATAAAATAACAGGTCAGGAAACATGCCTAAGTATAAAGAGAAGAAACAGAATATACACAGTATAATGTACAGGATAATGTACAGTATAATGTACAATGAACTTATAAAAAATATTCTCCATCTCAAATGTAGTTAACGAAATTGAGATCAAAAACAGATACCTTTTTTGGCCCTCCCTGGTGGCGCAGCGGGTTAAAGCACAGCACTGAGAATTAAAGCCGCTTCCACATGAGTTCGATTCCCGCCTGCCCCAGAGGTGACCACATGGCGTGGCAGACCTCTCCTGACCCGCCTGCTGCTCCCCTCAGCAGTGTACTTCGTCTATCTGCCTGTTCTGCTCCCTACTCTGTCTCTGGTGAAGCCTCTCGCCGCCCCTGAGCCTCTGGCCTGTACCCCAGTTCTGTATGCACAAATAAATAAATCTTTAAAAAACAAACAAACAAACAAAAAAACAGATACCTTTTGAAAATTCTGTTGTATCCTAATAAGGGGCTGGCATTTTTGTCATTCTCAGGGAAAATATACCATATGCTGGTCTTGTGTTTTATCACTACCACTCTTAGACACTTTGTTCCATAACATTCATATTACAAATCAACAAAGAAACATGAGTCTGAAAAGATATATTTATGTCCTTTTACATAAGTTGGTATTTCAATGAAATTTTGTGTGACAAAGGTTTTCCTGCTTAAAAGGAAACCTAATATATTTGAAAGGGGAAGGCACATATCATATAATTTTACTATTATGTGGAATATAAACAAATAAAGCAAAGGAGCCAACAAAACTAAACCAAAAAAATAAACAAACAAACAAAACCCACAGAAATTTGACTGCATAGTTGAGTCTACAGTGAAGGGGAGTGAGAAATGGGCCCAAAGGCCTAGAGAGGAGGGTTGTGGGTGCTTCAGTGGTGAGTCAAGCTGTGGTATAGCAAAATTCATCTGAAAAAGTATGAAATCATATACAGTGTTGTAAAGCAATGTTCCTTAATAAAATATAACAATTAAAAAAATGAAAACCCATTACATATATAGTACTAATTCTCAAGAAAACTCCAGACTTTTGAATGGGGGACAAAGGGATGATAGAAAAGTTAAACAGAGTTGTGGTCAGGATTTTGGTGTTTAATCCCTAAGTTCACGATGTTTTATTGGTAAGATGTAGCCCCTTCATTTCTGAACAAGTAAGAAATCTTCTCTGCTAAAAGTGTTTCTTCAACATGCTAGAAATTCCCTGTACCCACCTACTCACTCTCTCTTCCACCGTTTCCTCCCACAATAGTTGACTCATATCCCTGCCCTTTTCATACCCACCCTTACAAGGTTACTTACTTCCTCCAGTCTCCACCGGTTAAAAAGTTTATTGTAATTTCCTGGGTGACCTACAAATCTGTAAAAAGCCATTTTAATTCATTAGCATTTATGTGGGGTTGACTAAAGAGCATCTACTAATGCTTCACTACAAGTCCAAGTGTAGGTAGACATAAATGTTCGCTGGTGCAATTCGTCCCCAAATTATTGACTTGTGCTATGCTCACACATCAAAGTTCCTGACTTCAAAAGGAAAAAGTGGTATGTGAAGTCAGTACCATGGGATGAGAAAGTACAGTCAAATCAACCAAACAAAATAATATATCACTTTCATTTGTATAATTTTAGTGCCTTACTTACCTAGTTAGTGCATAGTTTAATTAGATCTTAAATTGTTCCATGTACTGGCTAGAGTTAAGCATATGGAAAACCAGAACATTATTCTAATATGCTTCCTTTTGATACTTTGCAACAATGATGGGGAAAAAATAACACAGGGAGAAGTGGTTTCTATAGTCAGAAGCTGTAATCTAGGATTACATAAAAATAAGTTTTCTTATATAACAAAACAATTACGGGTGATTCGCTAGTCATAATTCACCCAAAGGTACTAGGTTTTAATCTTTTTATGCCAACTCCATTTGGTTGTGGCATTGGAAACAATGTATTATTAAGTCAACTAGAAAGACATAGGAAAACTAATTAGCACAGTATCCCAAGGCAGGAGAGACAATTTGCCATCTCTGCTAACAAACTGGGAATGGAACTTTTTATAATCCTTTTCACTCTGAAGAGGTGTATAACTATGACTTACCTCCCCAAAAAGAAAGCAATATAGAAGATAGAACTATTTAAATTGACAAATTGGAAGAGGAACATCTTCAGGGCAAAGCTGTTTTCCCATTCAGATTCTGTTCGAGGATATTCTAAAAGGAATATAAGGTAAATGATGATAAATATCTACACAGAATCAGAGGCCACATTTAATTCTGATTTAGCCATTTACTAGCTCTATGGGTCAGTTTCACTGTGTTGTAGTGTCTGTGAGTAATAATAGCTGTGGTACAGACCTGGTAAAATGATACCAGATAACATTCAGACTTCTCCCACTACTATGAACATATGATTCCTGTTACAAATATGAAACATTTTCAGGTTTCTCGGTTATTGTTATTTAGAGACAACCATAACCATCGAACAGTTCTTCACCACACTGGCTATGCCCAGTGGCACTTAAATTGCCTGAGTCCTGTGAAGAACAGATATTTTGCGTGCAGACTGAAGTGAAATGGTAAAGAGGTAAGAAGGTGGCATCTGTCAGAGAGTGGAGTTTTTATCTCCACTAACTTGCTGGTAATCTCAGTTCACATATTTTGTAATCAGTTTTGCCATCTATGAAATAAAGGATTTAGATAAGACCATTTTCGAGAATTCACAACTCTCACATTTGATGTTTCAGCTTTTCTAACAAAACAAATGTTGAGAGAAAATGCATGAGGATAAAAGCATGTTTTGCAGATTTTGCTTCCACTTGTTATCCAAATAAATGATAGAAAACACATGTGAACTTCTTATATATTTTACTGCAATTGAAGAATTCAAGAGTGACAGAAAATAGATGGGATATAATAAAGGAAAAGATAAGCAAATGCATATTCATGAGACCAATCACAGAATGAGGACCAGGGACCTGAGTCTTAAGGGGCTTGTATACCAAAAATAGGGGGTGGGGAGGTACAGGCATTGATTGGTTGGTGGGTACCAGTGAGAGCAGCAGGAGAGTTGCCATTTCTACACCAGTTTTCATACATTGCATTTTCACTGTTATTTCCTCCTAAAAAGTTTGGAAATTTAGTTTGTTACTTCTTTCACACATTAACATTATTGTATTTAGAAATAAGAATGTGGGCTTAAACAAACAAACCCTAGTGAGATGATTTTAGTTCTCCATTTCCAATTATATTGTATCATAATCCACAAATGTGTCCTGCATGAATTCTGCTTTGGGGCAAAAAAGTTCCATTTTCATTTGTGGTCCAATTACATGGATAAACTATCTATGTATCAAGTATTTGACAGAGTACCTATTTTTATGTTAAACATAAAATTTGCATATAGTTTAAAATAACTCTATTAAGACATTTAAATATTCTATAGTCTCGCTTATACTCTGAATGTGCATATATCAATTTACTTTTGTAGTTCTAGCATTTCTTACTTTATATATTTTGAAGACTTGTTAAAAGTTGTATAGTAGTCCTGACTCTTACACTAGCCTGATCCTTTCTAATTATATAATATACCTCTTTGCAACATTAAATTCTAGTTTCCCTAATATTAACATGGAGTTAGGTGGTTTCTTGCTGCTATTTTCCTGATATACATACTTTTATTCTTAAATTGTACACATATACATGAGTATTATTTTAAGCAAAATCTATATTTTTATTAAATAAAATTCATATAGTCCATTTGTTATTGATTAATGATTCTGATATATTAAGTACTACTGTCATGGCTATTAGATGGATGTATTAAATATCAAGTAAAACCTTAGTATTCCTGGTACTTAGTACAAAAAATTGTTCTGCCCCCTACTACTAATTTTGCTCCATCAATCACTTCCTGAGATTTGCTTCCAACCTGGATTTATACTTAATTTTAATGTAAATGATTGGTATAAGGAATCAGAGCTAGAGAAATCTTGCAGTCTAATTCAAGTTGAGAAAATTGTTTTTCAGAGAATTAAATAACAATGAAAAAGACCATTCCAATTTACTGAACATTTGGTGTGTGTCACACAACTAATCTACAATCTGGAAACTGAGAACAAAATAAGGAGCAGGGAAAGGTAAAAAGAGAAGTAGATAGAGGAAGAAAAGAAGAACGAATGGAGAGTCTACTGCTAGCAGTCACATAATCTCCAAGTGATATATTCAATCACTTAGCTCCAGAGACTGAGTCTAGTTCTTGCCTTTCCACTGTTCCTTCCATTACTATTTGCACTTGTGCATATTTTATAAGGGAAGCTATATATCATGGTGAAGTGATTCATTTACTATAGTTAAGTATATTCTGTCACATCTGAGTTTTAATTGTATCTAATTATCTTAGATAATTGTATCTTAATTATCTTAGTTTTCTTATCCATAAACTAGGAATCCTATTGTCTTAGACCTAAGATGACAATACAATGAAATATTGAATGAAAAGTGTTTAGTACATGACCTAGCATTTGGGAAGTATTCAAGCAGTAAAGGATACCTTCATTATCTGCCTTCAAAAGTGCATTTATATATCCTCTATAATAGTTTGAGAAAAATAAATATGGAGGAAAAAATCCAAAGAACTGAAAATATAAATAAAATAAACGCAGCCAGAGAGAATGAGTTGTGCTGGTTTCTAAGAAGGAGACTTTGTAACTACACATACTTTTTCTCTCTGGTTATTTGATGTAGTTTAACTTCCTAGCTCACCAATTTCATTTCTACAGACATTTATATAACTGCAATTGGTATTAAAGTGCCAAAGTAAATCAACTATATATTGACAAGCCTATGTGCTAGTTTCTTACTAAGGAAAATGGACTTACCTAAATTTGTGAGAAGGTAAGCAATTTTTTCATAAGCCTGTAATAAGAAAAAAAACAGTGAAAGTTACTGTTTTCTTTTAGAAAAGGCTTTTATTTATATAGTACACCCAATGCATATTCCACATGAATCAAGGCTACTGGGATGGGAGAACATGAGGATGGGAGCAGAGAGGTAGCAGGCCCAGGGGACTACGGTGGTGCTTCGGTGGTGAAGGTGTAACATAAAACTGAGAAGGTGAATCTCTACCCTTAAGCATATATTGTAAACCAACGTTACCTCTATAAAAATAATCCAGTAAAAAGTAAAGTATAATCTACAAAATGGCTACATTTTAAATTGATCAAAAACACTTTTTAAAATTTCTTATGGATTGATTTACATGCACATATACAACAGTGCTTATAATACCAATATATGTATATAAAGGCACATTTAGCTTTATTATAACAAGCAATCTTTATTTCCATTTAATAAATCAAGAAAATGAGACATACAAATTCAAAAATCACTTAACTCAGTGATTGACCTCGCCTTTGGTTATTAAATTAGATGTGCTTTTTACTACACTAGAAGATGAGTAGAACTTTGAATTCTATACGGTTAATAAGAATTTTCCAAACTATGACAAAGACAGTATGCAAATTTGCATTCCTGATTGCCATCACCATGCTGATGAGCTTCAAAGTTGGGTAACTTTTCATGTAGTGACTTGTTAATTCCAAAACCACCTGGTGCAGGAAGAAACGATAATTTAAATATATTCACCAGATGGTATCTGATAGCAATCCTTTTGCAGAGCATGTGTATGTGTAAAGTGCATATGTATTTAGAGAAGGAGATAATTGAGAGAGTTCAGAGAAAATTACTCTCATCACTGCATTTTATTTGTATCTGGATAAATTATGAATGTTGGAGAACATAATTTTAATAGTCACAAGTGCCTTTAGTAAGCTGGACTTCTCTGAATCATATGTCCATTAGGTTAAAAATATCTATTAGGGGCCCTCCCTGGTGGCGCAGTGGGTTAAAGCACTGCACTAAGAAGCTAAAGCCACTTCCGCATGAGTTCAATCCCTGCCTGCCCCGATGAGATCCACATGGTGAGGCAGACCTCTCCTGACCTGCCCGCTGCTCCCCTCAGCAGTGTACTTCGTTGATCTGCCTGAACAGACTCCCCACTCTGTCTCTGGTGAATCTTCTCACCGCACCTACACCTCTGGCCTGTACCCCAGTTCTGTATGAATAAATAAATAAATCTTTAAAAAAATATGTATTAGGAATTTCCAAATTATCAGGTAGTATTCAAGAAAGCAAACAGTAATGTACCAAACACCTGTCGTCTTTTCTTCATAAAACTTAAATTCCAGTGACCAGTGACAAACACATATGGAATAGGAGGAGATGAAAAAGACTATGAGGAAAATTAAGAAAGTGGTGAGTAGCTAGAAAGCAGTGATGGTTCAAGCAGTCAGGAAAAGAGCTCCCAGAGGATAGCCTTTGGGCAGACAGGGAGGGAAGGAGCCCAGCAGAGATTTGAGCTAAGTAGCTATAGGCACAGGAACAGAAAATGCAAATGCACTGAGATGGGAGTGGGGTTGATGTGCTTCTGGAAGAACAAGGAAGCTGAGTGGCAAGAATGGAGGCAGTAAAGGCAAAGTGGTAAGAGATGATCCAGAGACATCTCAAAGCAAACATTTTTTTAAAAGCTTCTAGCCGATGAAAAAGACTTCCAAATTTGTCTGGGCTGACAAATCATGGTCTTCCAGAATTCTTTTGCTCTGGAGTATTATCTAGAAATCTGCTGAGGAAAAACTAAGACCAGCAAAGTCAGGGAAAGGGCAAGTTGCTGTTGGAGGGCTTACTAGAGATTCTACTTGATATGCTCTTTGTCTCTGAGTCAGTCTCACAACCTAACCTGCACTGTGAAAATCAACTCCACATTAAGTTGTAGAATCAAGAAGGGCACACTCATTTCCAGTAGTGTATCTTTCAGGATTTTCTAGAAACTATGGGCATAGACACAAATACATTAAAAAGAAAGCCAACTCTCTTATTAGTGAGTCACTTGGCATTAGTTCTTTTCTGAGGACGGCCCAACCCTTGATCCACCTTATTTCATAATAATCGACAATAATTGTAATTGGCAACCAGACATTAAGGAACATTATGTGTTAAGTGGTCAGGCACATAAAAGAAATAATACGTGCTTTGGATGCTATAGAAGAGAAATGGATCAATAATGTGGAAGAGTCCAGATTCATGGATTTTAAAGTGAGAGGAGATATGCCAGAAGGAATTCATTCCTTTATGATTAATGTTGATGTGTTTTATTTGGCCTAATCTCAGCTATTTCAATCTACAACAATACCTGCTATGATATTCCTATTTTTTTAATTACATGTCATGCATGAGACAGGACAGCTGTCATATTAAAGATTGCCAAAAAGTAAGAATATACATTATTGGAATAATTGCATATAATTTTATTTTCAGCAATTCTTAAAGAGACAAAAAAAAAGAAAGAAAGAAAAAAGATGGTAGAGAGAGGAAGTAGTGAGCCAGTAGACAAAGGAAGTGAAAGAGAGGCATTCCAGGAAGCAGGAGAAAGTGATTTTGTGAGCTGAAATACAGAGAGAAAGGGCAGGAGTAAGACATAACCTCAAACACAAAGGCACAAAATGATGTAAAAATAAACTATTATATTATTTAAGAAAAAAATGCCATTTTCCACCTGGTAGGCTTCAATTAAAAAAAAAAGATATAAACTCAAACAAAAAGAGAAAGAAAAACTAGTATTTAATAGAGGGAGTTTTGTGCTGTGCTAACAAGTTAAAATTTATAGCATAGGCAATGGGGAACTGTTAAACGTTTAAAGTACAAAATTAAGGAATCAATTCGCAGTTAGAGTCTTCCGATGAAGTGGGACAATTTGCAAGCAGAGATGAGAAGGCTGGTCTGGGAGAAGGCTGCTGCAGTGGTCCAATGGGAAATGACAAGTAGCTGAGCTGAGGGTGTAGAAGTGGTGCTGGTGAGCAGGGACTGGGTAAGGGGGAAATCACAGGAGGAAAATTTACATCACTGATGAAGAAGGAAACAAGTACGATCCATGAGAAAAGAGTTAAGGTTTCTGGCTGTGACATTAAACATTAAAAGTCACCGACTGAAAAGAAATGTTTGACTTAAACTGTTTTGACATTCTTGTTTTGTAATTTTATCCATACTGGTATAGCTGAAAAGCATGTTAAATTAACAGAATATTCTGACTGAGGTCAAGTCCCTCACTTGGGAAAAACAGTAGCATAAAGAATTGCTAAGAATGTTAACAAAGAAAAAGCATATTTTTATTAATCATATATTTATGTGGTTCCAAAGATAACAAGAGGTAGCATTTGCTTTTCTAGGTAAATCTTTTTGGTGTGATAATTATTTAAGAGTCTGGTATTTTTACATTAATGGCCTAAATTTATCTTCTATTTGATTAAATTTTAAAATAAATCCTGTGTGTTCAGGTAACCCAAAAGGTTTTTTAATAATCAATAAAGAATTTTAAAATCCTCGATAGGGGGAAGAGCATAAATTCAGAAAGGAATTATTGTTTTACACTGCTTTAATCTGAGGAATAGAACATTCTTTTCATGTAGGCTAAGTTAGCTGTTCAGCACTTTCATGTTAAATCCATTTTAATATTTTTCTCAGTTATTTGTCAGGGAAAAGAGAAATATTTATGTCCCATATGCTTATGATAGTCTCTGACACTTGATGCCAAAATGCCCAAATAGCAATTAACATTTAGATTAAAAAAAAAAAGTGCTGTCTGTTTTCTTCCAGAAATAATAGATTGTTTTATAGTACCAGACAATTACATTGACACTTGTGTTTAAACTCAGTAGAATTAGTAGTATCCTCACCTAAACTGCTTACAAAGGTCTTATTCCTATAATCAGAAATTCACTCAATCCAGTTCAGTCCAAATGCAAGCACTTTGGAAGAGTACATTAGCTCTCATTAAATACATAAATATATTAATGAGATTGAGTTGCATCTGAAACTTGGAAGAGCAGGAAATGTACGTATGGGATCCACTGTGATTCTAGGGAAGGTGTGGAAACTCAGGCTAAAGATTAAAAGTAGAACAAATTCAGAGTTTAAGGGGCTGGTGATGAAAAGCAACTGGAAAACAAGAATGTGGTACCTCACAGGAAACTTCAGCTAGATTTCAGTATTTTCAACAACAGTGTTAAAAGGAGGAACTTTTTTAAAGGAAAGTGTTTGCAGACAAAAGCTCTTTTTTTATTCAAATGCGGATTTTAATCAGGACAAGTCCTTCAGTTTAATTAAAAAGACAATTATTCTACCAGATAGCTAACCTCCTGGTCCAGGAAGTTCTTTTTCAAGAGCTATTTTTGCCTTCCCATTATCAAAAATAGGTCAGTTAATTCACTCAAGATATTTCTGAATGTTTGTAGGTCTTTGGAACAAACAGCCGCATAAACAAAGGATCACAGAGTACTGCTCTGAAGGCAATTAACAAGTGAATGGGGGGTCTAATAAACAGTCATAAAACCATGTTCAGTGATTACCTCCAATGGGCACATACAGTTTATGTTAGCAAGGGAGGTGAGTGGCATTATGATTGAGAACAGACTTTTACTCAATATATTTTTTAAAGATTTATTTATTTGTGCATATAGAACAGGGGTACAGGCCAGAGGTGTAGGTGCGGTGAGAAGATTCACCAGAGGCAGAGTGGGGAGCAGAACGGGCAGATCAATGGAGTACACTGCTGAGGGGAGCAGCAGGCGGCCAGGAGAGGTCTGCCATGCCATGTGTGGTCACCTCCAGGGTAGGTGGGGATTGAATTCATGCAGAACTGCCTTTTAGCTCTTAGTGCTGGGCTTTTTAACCTGCTGAGCTACCAGGGAGGGCCCTTACCTAATATATATATATATTTTTTTTTTAAATAACAAGGTTTATGTAATAGCCTTGCTTAGCACAGAATATAGGAGATATAAAACATCAGGTTACAAAACTTATTACAAAAAGAATAAATATAGTTGAATGCACCATTTATTATGCTGTCACAGTCAGCTTTCACATTACAAAATCAAGGATTTTCATTAGAAAACAAGATTTAATAAAAAAAAGGATTTGATCTGGCCCTCCCTGGTGGTGCAGCGGGCCAAAGCACAGCACTGAGAATCTAAAGCCACTTCCTCATGAGTTCGATCCCCGCCCGCCCCGGAGGAGATCCACATGGCAAGGCAGACCTCTCCTGACCCGCCCGCTGCTCCCCTCAGCAGTGCACTTCATCCATCTGCCTGTTCTGCTCCCCGCTCTGTCTCTGGTGAATTCCCTCACCCTCCACATCTCTGGCCTGTACCCCAGTTCTGTACAAACAAACAAATAAATCTTTAAAAAAAAAAAAAAGGATTTGATCATTAATAAACCAGTTAAATTATTTATGAAAAATACGTTGTTATTCATGATACCACAGTGCCCTTTTGTGCAAAGAAGGAAAATTCCAGGACCATGACCAGAAGAGAGTGATTTCCCAAGGGGAGTGGACCCAGATTTCTTTAATAAAGTCTAGGGAATTTAAGTTGGGTAGGAGGAGGGAGTAATTGGAGAAGGTTGCCCATGAAACCTCAAGACCTAGGAAAGCTTGATGTGTCCAGATTTCCGCCAACGGAAATTCAATCTGTGTCCAAGATGCAGTTGCTGAGTGTCCTCCCACCATGCCTAGCAAGGTGGAAGGATGCTCCCAAACCTGATCTGGTGTGGGGGCAGGAAGGGAGAGAGAGAACGCCTCTGATCTGGTAGATCGTAGGTGGAAGATGCAGGACTGCAAGAGGTGGAAGAGGTGAGCGGGAGATGTGCCTAAGTAGCCAAGGGGAGAGATCCACGCTTTCCCAGGCTTGCCCCACTGTCTCTCCACAGGCAAAGTATACTCTGCAAAGACGAGAAAGTCCCACCGCAACTGAGCAGAACAGACCCCTCAGATCCTTCAGCCAACCATTCTTACCTAATATTTTAATGTTTTATATTATCAGTGCTTTTTATGATAACAATGGCTTTATAATTCAAAACAAGAAAAGAAAATAATGGACTTCATAAAGGAGAAAATAAAATTAGGACATTACAAATAACAAGAGAGAAGAAACAATTAATTTATAGGTATGATTTCTTTTCCTTTTTTATTTGTGACTGCCTTTCCTCTATTCCTCTTTTCTTCTCTTGCTACATGCGGATCTTGTTTTACACTGGGAATTGAAAATGAGGGATATTTTACTTGCTCTAGAGAACATGCCATCTAAGAAATTATGCCATCCCTGTCCTTCCCAGACTGGCTTTCAGTCTCCCCTGTATTGATAGCAATAGCTGGAATTCTCTGCATTAACTGAAATACTTGTCTAGATCTTTACTTATCCTGTATTCCTGTTCAATCTTTAATGACTACAAGGCTTTGCAACTTTCTGGCTAATCAATCAATTCCTTCCCATAAAGCAGGCATTTTTAACTAGAACTCCTCCCCTTTGGCCCTCTAAATTCTGGTGTAGCAAGAGACCTAGGCAGAATTTAGGTTTTCTGCTTTTTAGCAACTTGACCCGTGCATCTGCTAGTAGAACATGTCCACCTCTGCCTTCAGCCACCACAGGGAAGAGTGTATATGTCACAAGACCAATGCTACCTGATTCTTGAACTCTTTTCAATTGTGGCATGAAGGTCACAAACCCAGATCTGATAGGCTGATGTGAGCTCTAAGATATCTGCGTGTCTAGAATTGTTGCACCTCCTGTCCTACTCACTCAGTTTAAGAAGAGAGTTCTGCTTTTTCTTGTTACATTAAAACTGGACTAGCCACCTGTCTGCTCCTCCTAGCTCATTGGGAGAGTGACCCAACTACTTGTCACTAACTGTTGCTTGAATCCTGTTGTTCAAGGCCACCCTCCGGAAGCCAAGGCACCACTGCCCAGCCAGTATCAGGCTGCCAAGATTTTCACTGCTCTTCTAAGCCATGAGTGGACACAACATAGTTCACGACACTGTGGATACTCCACATAGAGGAGATGATCCTAGTGAGACCTGCTCAGAATGACAGTTGTCAGAGATGATTTCTCTTGAACTAATTAGATTTTTCAAGTATTCTAATATTTCAGATATATTTAATAAGATACAATACAACTTATATATATATGATTTTTTCTACAGACAATAATGAGCTATTAACAATAATCAATGGAAAATATTCACATTTTAAGTGAATACTTTTCATTTTAATATAAAATAAGATGATTTATTTTAAGTAAAATATATCAAAAATAAAAAAGGTACTCTGAAGAATTTTAAAGATCCAAAGATCATCAGTGTTTCTATATATTGGACTTAAGTCAAATACATAATAAAACTCTATTCCTCAAAGGTGAAGAAAATAGAGAAAACTAAATATTGGTATTTTATAAGAAAGGGAAAAGGAGAATAAAGACAACTAATTTATGATAGTGAAAAGAAGTGAATAGAGAGGAAGAGAGGTGATATTATTGGACACCTAAGTAATAGAGGCAGATCTCAAAGTTTTCAATCCCTCTAGGTATTAGTTTTCACTCTCACTTGAAAGATATTATATGCTATGGCCAGGATCACACAGGTAAAGTGCAAATCTTTGCTTTGCCTATATTTAAAATCTACTGTTTTTGGATAGAATTCCTTATTGTGAAACTGACAATACAAACTGAAGTCTGGGCAGATTCAGAAATGGAGAGGAAGAGGAGCGGGAGACAAATGAAAACAATAACGTCATGTACGCGGGGATGTGTCCAGCCACTGGAAAACCTTTTCTTGACAAAAGACAAATTTTAAAAGTAACACAAGGTTGCTATGTAGGTGGCTATGGTGTTATGGGTGATTCAGATATAAAGCAAAAATGCAGTACATTCTGTTTAAGATTCAAAGTTTATAATATGGTAGAATGTTTTAAAAGTAAATGCTTTTGTTTTCTGTATATAAATGTACAAATGATCAGGAAAAGTTATGTTAAAGTAAACATTCTCCTGGGCTCTTTCTGGTGGCGAAGCGGCTTAAAGCACAGCACTAAGAAGCTAAAGCCACTTCAGCATAAGTTCGATTCCCGCCAGCCCCGGAGGTGACCCACATGGTGCCGCAGATCTCTCCTGACCAGTCCCCTACACTGGTCCCCTCAGCAGTGTACTTTGTTGCTCTGCCTGTTCTGCTCCCCACTCTGTCTCTGGTGAATCCTCTCACCAACCACACATCTGGCCTGTACCCTAGGTCTGTTTGTATAAATAAATAAACAAATCTTAAAAAAAAAAAAAAAGTAAACATTCTTCCACTACTGAGAAATAGCCACTGTTAATTGTTTCACTCTTTATAGACTCAAAATGCAGGTTATGTTGCAATGAGAATTAAGTAAACTTGTATATTCTTCTTATGTAACTATATTCTATGTCCTTAAATAATGATAAAACAGCATTGTAATTGACCATACATACTTCATTATTTAAAATTTGAGTTACTATGCTCTTATTTTCACTCATTTGGAAGGTATCTTTTCAATTTTTTTGCTACTCTGACTAATAATGCAATCAAAATTCTTGAAACATAAATCTTGGACTACCTGCACTTTTTTTTTATGACCTACCCTAATTTTTCTGATGAGTAGCAAATGGTTCCAGCTTCTCCTAGCTAAATGTGTAGCTTTAGTGTCAACCCATATTTGGAAGCAGGTATCCCTTATTTGTATATAAAAATCACTATTTGTGTATTGTTCAGCTATGGATATAAATGACCTCATAATATAATTACACTAGTTCTAACACTTATTATATACATGAGTTCTCTGTATCTCAGTGTCCTCTAGTACACAATGGAGAGAATACTGACCTGTGGTGCTATTGGGAGAATTAAAAGACAGTGTGCTGTCTATCAACGCTTCCTGTTGCCATAGAAACTAGAACCCCATCCATAGACCTTGCTGAATAGGTAAATGCAGGCATAATTTTGTCCTCTTAGTCATAGATATTTACTTTTCAATCAATTAAAGGTATGTTAAACTAATCAGATGATCACCAAGAAAACAGTACCTAAACATCTTGGATTGTCTAAGTTAGTAAGCTACAGAAAACTGGTCATGTAGCAGTGCCAAATAAATTAATAAAAGCATATGAATAGCATGGCGATTGATTATGAAAGTGAGAGGCCAAGGTTTAGCCAAGACAGTCACATTTCTGGGGGGGGGGGCCCACAACAGAGGAAAGGAGAGGAGGAGAGGGGACAGGAAGAGAGAAGGGATAGAGGAAGCTGAAGGAAGAAAAAGAGGGAAGGAGAAAGGCAAAGAAAAAGAAGGAAGAGAGGGAGGGAGGGAGTAAGAGAAAGAAAAAAGTTTAGTTTTAGAGAAAGAAAAGCAGAGTAACTGGTTCTCTATTTCACATGAGGCATTGGGGTTAGCAAGTCTTCATTTTCCAACAATAATTTTGTATTCCTCCAATAAATTTTCCTCTGAGGCTGACAGAGTAATTTTCTCATCCTTTTTTTTTTGACAAAAAGACCATGGCCCATTCAAGCATAATGGATATAAATTATCACACGACTATAAACTCAAAGGGCAAGTGAGACGATACAACTAATACTGTTTTTAATTATTAAAATTCATCATTTAAACATCTAAGTAGAATATTTTCTGCTAAACTGAGTTGCCAAAGCCAGAAATGCAGCTTTGTCTAATTTTGGCTTCCATATAAAAATAATCCAAGTATACAGGAAATATAAACCTCCCCCCTACACACTCCCTTTCACTTATTGAAAAATAATTGGAAACACTTACAAGATTCAGTGTCATAATGATAACAAAATTGATACAGACAGCTGCAGCAGATGTTGCAAATTGCCAGTGTTGCTTGATAAAATTCCACTTGAATGATGCGAACTGTTCCATGACAACGAGGCGATACACCACAACTGCAAACACCGCAGTGATCACCAAAGAAATCTGCAAAATGGAAGACCAGAAGAGAGAGCCATATTTTGCATCATTAACAAAACCAAAGCAAAACCACAGATAAATGCAATGCCCTCAAGAACAAAAGTTATTTACTTTTTTCAAGAATATGTACATGCATTAAAATTTCTCCTCTGAGGAACTAAATTACATTAGGGTCAAAATAAACATATGATTCAAGTTGTTTTGGAGCAACAACAGTTACCACCATTGAAAAGCAAATTCAAATTCCCACTTTCAAATGGAATATTTGGTTCTAAAACAAATTTATCTAGTTTATCAGGACAAATCATAAAACTTCCATTTCATTTCAGATGAAGTCTCTCTCCCAAAGCTTGTTCTATTTAGCAATGGACACAAAAAGCCTTGGTCATTCCTCCACTACCTGCTTGTTTTTATTTTGTTGAATAATAAATATTAACAAGGATTAATATAATAAATATATAAATATTTATTATATAATAATAATAAATATTAAAAAGGATATGGTTTCATGCATCCTCTGGATCACGAAATGAGTTAGGCCCTAGAACTTCCATCCAAAGCTGGAATCCCATGCTGTCCTGATATTAATGGTCATATTTTACCATGAAGAATATTCCTGAGATAGACACAAGAAGACGAGTGACTTTATCTGAGGAGGGCTGGTGTGGCTCGGGTTTTCCACTGATGGGATTCACTCTTTCCATCTTGTAATACTTTGCTTCAAACTGGGGGCGAAGTGTTTCCTATGGGAGAAACTAATGTTACCTAAATATCAAAATCACAAGCTTAAAAAGAAATTGCTGAGAATTGATACCAAATTCCTGCACTATGACCTGCTTTTAGTCTTGGGAAATAATCAACTTTTTCAATTTAAGTTGCAAATTATTTTCCAAATAAACCCTACTCTATACTTACTAGCATAATGTAGTACTAATAGAATTTAAAGAAACATCATAGAAATGGTTTGAAAAAAGCCACATACTTTATCATTGATTTCTGTTATCTTTATTATCTTCATGAAGTAAGGAATCTTGATAGCAGGAACATTAAGGAAAAAAATCTAATTGCTGTTAGTTGCTTCCAACATGGGCATTAAGGGCAAAATGATTTTCGGCATCACGTTATCCATTTTCTTTATTCCTGGTTCCAGAATATCTTACCTCCTCCTCTTCCCACTCGATAAGGTCCCAAGTATAGGTCAGTGTACTTCTTCTCCTTTTCCAAAACTCCAGGAAGACTGTGGCTATAAATCATCATCATCATCATCATCACAATTATTAATATTATAATTCCTTCCCAACCATATTACATGCATTCATCACTGCTTTTCTTCTTTGAAACTGATGCATTTTCATTACATTATTAAATCTTTTAAATTTATTAAATAATTATTAAATTAATACAACTGGAATTTTACTTTTCTCTCACCCTCTTCTTCCTGTCTTTATACGCTGAATTAGTGTGCACCCCTAGAATGGAAAGATTTTTTTCACATCTGAAATAAAGCAACAGTGATTTTTCTTAGTATGATCAACAAAATACTTGTTCCTGCCCTGCTTTTTCCTATACTTTATAAAGTTTTATGAGTACATAAAACTAGTACATTGCCCACTGAAGGAGGTCGATAAAAACTGACCACCATGGAGGATTATAGGTGTCTTGGTGGTAGAAGATGTGGTGAGGTAATATACCTCTGAAGGATGTGATCCTATGCCTTGCATTGCCTATAAGCTATCTCAATAATAAATGGATGGGTGAATGAATGATGAATTAGTAAAAGAATTACTGAAAAGAATTCAGTGATTGTGAGTCTAACTGCTGGTTAAATTTCCTTCCATTATCCAGAGGTTTTCAAATAGGCAGAGAAGCCCTTCCTTTATCTGATGTATATGTTGACTAATCAAGTCCAATTTTATTTGATAAAATAATCATTAAGGAGTTCTGAAATCTACTTCATAATATTTTGTAGAGGGGAGTTAAAGGGAAGAGAAGGTTGACTATAAACACAAATGAAGTTAAATATATCTGAATATGTAGAGCAAAAAGGAATTCCAACTATTTTTATTCATCAGAAGAGATAAAGGCCTAAAGCCTCCTCAAAAGAAAACCCAGCTGAAACAACAGCTTATCAGAGTAGCAGCTTTGAGATTGCCAAATAAGACAAAACCCAGGTACTACTAAATGCTTTCCTTCATCCCCCAGATTTATTTTCAGCAACATCCTTAAGCATAATGTGCTTTTCTCTATGCAGTATTGCAACATCATACACATAAGGCAGAAATAGAACCCTCACTCAACAGGTTCTACCATTAGCAGAAAGTGAACACTTTAGTTTTTCAGACTTGGGGAAAGTTAGTTTCTCTTTGTTAGAACCTTCCAGACATGAAATTAATAGAATTATGTGAGTCAGAGCAGGAATGAGTATAATGAATATACTCTACACTAATCAATACAGAGTCTACCAATATGTATGAAGCCGCAAATATTAAATAGTTGGGCTGAACTGCACTTGACACAGTCATACCTGTAACTGGTTAATCAAGACTCTGTCTAGTTAAGAAAATAAGATCTCTTTCTAATTTTACTTCCAACTTCCCCCCTACTCCTTTTTTAACAACATTAAGTATCAAAGCAACAGATAACTAGATTCTAAAACATAATGAGCCCAGCCTTTGAAGCCCAAGGCCTGAAAATTTCACAAATGCCTGAAATCAGACTCAATATTTCTTCCCATGAATATTCACTTAGAAATGAGAAGCTTTGAATCCTCATATTACGTGAACACACAATGAGAACACTCACTCACCATGAGTTTTTTTTCCACCACAAGCTTGATCTGGGCAAACTTTTAAATCGGATACAGAGTTCCTCTGAAGTTAACTCTTCCAGTCATTAAATATACTGCTGTCATTTGCATATTAAATAGAAAATTCAGGGCATTTGTTCAAATGACAATGGTTCTCTTAAACTGTGAAAAATTAAGAGTTTACACCAATAACAGCTTGTCATGTTTTCAAATGTATTTTAATAAAACACAAGTGATCTTTTTGAGAGCACAGGATTAATTTTTCTTATATTCTTTCCTCATCTTACCATTCACTACTTAATACCCTTCGTTTCCTTTGTCCACTGACCATTTCTGATTACAAATGTAGCATCAGCAAAAAAATTGCTGGAGCAATACTGAGTTTCTTTTTCTTCCTAATATACCTAGGAGTACCTGATGTATATTAGGTTTTCAATAAGTATACACTAAATGAATGAATGACAACTGTAAAGAAGAAAGTAAAAGTCACCTACAACCAAATTATCAATAAATAGCTATTAAAATTTTTGTAATTTGATCCAAGGCATTTTACTTGAGAAGTATGAGGACTGGTAGCATGCTGACATCCAGACCATACTGGCTATTAATTTATGACTGAAAAAGATAAAAAAGCAAGCTTTTCCTTACATTATGATTAAGGAAATAAAATCTCTTTCTAATTTTGTGTCCAGTCCATTCTCCCTTTCTTCTCCCCTTTTAACAATATTAAGTGAAAAAGGAAACAACAAATAATTGGCCAAGAGCTGCTTGGAGTAAAAAGGATATGAGATCTTCTATGTATTTATTGAAAAACTAATACGCACTAGGTACTCCTAGTTATTTGTTGGCTAGAAAATGAACCCCGTTCACTGGTTGGCCAATGCTCCCCAGGACCTGGTACCTGTAGAGTTAACAGCAGGAACTGCTTGTGGCCTCCAGGAAAGTGCTTCTGAACTAAGATCTCTATCTATTCTGAAGGCCAGACCGAGAGACCTAAACACTGCTTAAATATTTGCCTTTTTTTAGCTTTTAAGTATTTCTCTGGAACTGGATACAGTTCAATTATAACTCTACTTGGCACCACAGATGAATACCAACCATGAGAAAAGAAGCGACTAATTCAGTTCTATAATACATATAATTAAATTTTTCTTCCTGATCAAGTTGCAGTGACTCTTAAATGGACATAGCAATGCAGTGCTGAGACAGAGCATAACTTGGAGCAGGAATGATCTGTGGCTGTAAGCTGCTTGTTTTCTTTGCCAGTTGCATTGTCTGACCTTGAACAAATTACTAAACAATGATAAGCCTCTGTTGCCACAACTTCAAGTGAGAAAAGCAAAAGTGTCTTCACAGTGATGTACAATTTAAATATTTGGAGCACAATTTATAAATGGTCTCACTATATTCAGTTCATTTTGCGTATACTAATTTTACATCAGATTTTCAACTGCCAACTAGCTTTTATTCATAAAATACTTGGCTATTTGTTTTTTGTTTGTTTGTTTGTTTTTAATAATAGTTTATTTATTTAAAATAATATCATAGTTTATTTTTACATCATTTTGTGCCTTTTTCCATCTCATTTGTGACTACTTAGTTTTTTGGTAGAAACTTGGTTTCTAGCAAAGTACAAAGATGTACTTTTCTGGAGGAAAAACAGAGCTATTGTTGATTATATTTCAGTTGTTTGACTTACAAAAATTGAGTCATTATCAGTAAATTTCCACATAGTACTTTCCTTCTATTGTCCCTTTCCTCACAAGCAACTTTAAATTGTCTTTATTTTCCTAGAGGCAGGTATCCTGCCTCTAAATACATTAATCCCAATGCCATATTTTGAGAACATAAATTTTATCTATCACTATAGAGAGAGCAAACAAAATATGAAAATGAGTTTCAACACAAAGCCAAAAAGAAAGAAGGGAACTAACATTCCTTGAGCACTTACAACATCCCAGACTTTGTGCTAAATGCTTGTAAATGAAGCCATCATTTCCAACAACCCAGCTGAAATAAAAATTATGATCTTTATCAACAGAGAAGAAACTTGAATTTTTTAGTGTTTAAGTTATTTGTTTAAGTCAACTGCTAAAATTCAGATCCTGATGCAAATTAATGGATTTTTTTCATGATAAAGGAAAAAATTATTCCAAGTGTGGTTTGAGACAGCCATTTCTGAGCAATATACTTTGCAACATTCTTCTGGAAAGATATTAACATCAAAGACAAAATATCTAAGTACATTTCTAATGGATATAAATGAGATCAAGAACTACAAGGATAGCTGCTCATACATCTTGTGGATTGTCAATAACAAGTCTAAAGTCCTTAGACTTATTATTTTTTTAATCAAAAATGATTACTAGCCATCTTCATATAAAAATTTCTTTAAAATGTAATTCTTTACAATTTTTTTGGAGGATTTATCCTTTGCAGGAAAACCCTGGTAACATTTTGATACATGTTTGTGACTGAAAATATTGTTTTTTCTTTTACTTGACCATTATATGCAGAAATGCAAAATTTCTTATATTTTAGTGCTTCTTGGAAAACTTAATGCTTAAAAATTAATGATTCTTGTCCATACTTCCAAAGAACACTGAATTAGTCAAAGAATAATTGAATAGTTGTACTTACAAGTTTAAAGTATCTAAAACTCACTGTAGATAAAGCCAGAATTTTTTACCTCCAAATGTTGGCCCTGCATTTCTTGATTGTTGACAAAGGATATGTTAATCAGGGATACATTTAATTTTGATTTAGTAAGATGCCTTTGTAGAGTTTATAGTCACTACCATGTTTTGTTCAATTATTGATAACTATTTTAATGTTTAGATGCTGACTCTGACAAGTGCTAGTCCAAGAGTTATACAATGAATACACATGTTCTCTAAGGCCCAGCACTGATAATGGAAGAAAAAAAGAATTTGAAATGCCTGGAACTAGAAGTACTCTATTAAAATTATTTCAAAAAGTTAAACTTATACATGAAAACATTATGTATTTCCCCAAATGTGCAGTATTAAAAATTCACATGACATTCCAATTATAAATTATGAAGCTTAAATAAACTTCTCAATGTTCTAAAAAGTAACTTTCAATAATTAACTCAATTAGAGAAAGATGAAAGTTTGAATTAGATGAAAGGCTCAATTTCTAGGAAAGTTTTTATTTTTAAAGATTTTTTTTTTAATATATGCATATAAGAGCTGGGGTGTAGGCCAGAAGTGAGGGGGTGGGGGTGGGGAGAGGTTGAGAAGATTCACCAGAGACAGAGTGGGCAGAAGAACAGGTAGATCTACTGAAACACACTGCTGAGGGGAGCTCATGATGCAGTGGCTGACAATAGTTTGATAACACTGACACTTTAACATCTGCACCACCAGGGAGGTACCAGAAGTACTTTTTTAAGCATTATATGATGTTTTCTGGAA